GCGTTTTCTGAGAAAACAGTTTGCAAAGAAACCGTCCGAGCCCCCCATGCCTTGCCAGCCCCCATCCCAGCTCCCAGGGCCGCAGTGCCCTTTGCCAGGGCGGCTCTTGCGCTCCAGGCACTTCCACAGCGGGTTGCTCTGCCGAGGCTGAAGGCAGCTGGCACGAGAAAGCCCGCGGGGGCTTTCTGAGGTGCTTGCTTGCACTCTCAGCGCGGAGGACAAATTTCCACTTTGGTCCACATAACTGACCAAGGAGGGAAGTCTGAAGCAGTCTCATTTCCTTACAGCATTTTCCCCTATTGCACAAACCAGCCATCCAGTTCTGTGGCTCCTTGCCATCCTTCCGAGCTGGCTCCCCGTGCTCCCCCTGCCCCGTTCACCCACAGCCTGGCCCAAGGTCCCCCGGGTCCCGAGGGCTGGGGTGTCTCTAAGCCGTGGGGTGCCTCTGAGCCGTGGGGATGGTGGCCTTTCTCTCCAGGATGCATGCTGAAAAATCTGGGGATTAGGGAGCTCCCTCTTCCTCCACCTCCAGCAAGGGGAGGCTGTGGCGGCGCACCAGCGTGGGGACAGCAGCCGGCCCCAGGCACCTTCCCGTGCTGCCCGTGGCCAGGGAGGGCCAGAAAGAGAGATGCAGCTGCGGGGAGCAGATGGAGAAGCTCTTTTAAAAACAGAAACCGCGCCGTTACAATTTCAGTAGACATTCAGCACATTTGGGGGCTGTTTTTTTAAAGAAGCAGGAACGAGGAGTTCCCCCATGGCTGGTTTTGGTTGCTCTTTCTGTCACCGTGGGCGGGAGGCAGCACAGGGAAGCGGTGCAAGGAGCACGCGGGCTCCAGCCCCAGCCCCGAGCTGCTCTCCCCCCTGCCACATGCCCAGCCCCAGGCCACGGGCAGTGGGGAAGGAAATGCAAAGTAAAGCCCGCACGCGGGGGGAGGCAAAACCAGAGCCCAGGGAAAGCCCCGGATGCCCCACAGGCGTGGAGAGGACTTTTGCAGGAAAAACCTTGGGACTATCCCAGGGGAAAGCTGCGCTGACCAGGGGCTACGAGGAGGCATGGAGGCTCCAGGGCACAGCACCCCAGCCCAGCGCCTGGGATCCCCCCGCAGAGGCACCCATTGCTGCACCGAGCACTGGCTGTGGGCTATGCCGGGGGCCACAGGCGGGCCGGGGCCGGGCACCCACCCCTTTTTTTCACCAGCTCCACCGCCACGGCCCCCAGCCCGCTGCAGGGAAGGCACAGACATCAGCGAGCTGCCTGCCCACCCCCATCCCCGCCAGCCCGGCGGGGGGGGCTCTGCCCGGACACCCGGGGCTCCCCAGGGTACCCGTCCCAGCGAGGCAGCGCCTGCGAACAGCAGAGCTCCATGGGTTTGGGGCTGGTGACGCCTCGGGACCGTGCGAAGGGAGCACCCAGCCCACCCCGGACCCCCGCACGGCCTCACTCACCAGCTGTGGTAGAGGTTGAAGACGAAGTCGGGCCCTGGGGAGGCGGGAAGGAGAGGTGTCAGAGCAGCGTGGTGCCACGAAGTCGCCCTCGCGAGTCTGTCCAGCAGCGTGGGGACGGGCAGGAGAGCCAGCCGCACCAGGACGTCACCGTGCATCCCCCTCCCTGGCCTCTGCGTGCCCCCCGCTTGCCCCAGAGCCATCCCGCGCACAGGTTTCCCCAGTCCTCCAGGGACCAGCAAATGCCAGGCATGCTCCCCGCTTCCCCCAGCCCCTTTCTTCTGAGCCCTCCCTGCCCCGCTGCTGCCTGCCCCCCGGCTCTGCCCGTACTCACGGCGCCAGCACTGGCCCCTCTGGTACCACCGGACGAAGGTGTAGCCAAAAAGCACCAGGATCAGCAAGGCCAGCCCGACACCCAGGACAACCCCGAGCGCATTGATGGGCTCTTGCCCTGTAAAGCAGAGGGAGAAAGAGCTCTGCAGACAAACACCTCCGGAAGGCTGGGGGTTCTGATCATCCCGGGGCGGGGGACAGGGCTGCTGCGGGGCTGGGAGCGTCCCCCCGCCCTCCGCTGTCCCTATGGCACGGAGGGACCGCGCTGCACGAGGCTGTCGTCGTGGCACGGAGAGTTTTGCGCCCCCAAAGCCCCGTGCTGGAGTCTTGTGATCTTGGTCGCACAGCCACCGGCTCTGCTGTCCCCAGGCGAGCTGGCGGGCAGGATGGCAACCGGGGAAAGGAGCCCAGAGGGGAGCATGGGCAACCTGCTGCCCTCAGCCTAAACGGGGAAAGGCTGTAAACAGGAGCCCGTGTTCCCTGCAAGCAGGATCCCCTGCTATTCCCGCTCCTGGCCCTGCCGGGAGCTCACAGCTTTTGGCCGTGCCCGAGGCCCATCACATTGTGCTGGGGGCGAGGACCTGGCCACCCCGACGCTGCCTGCATCCCCACTCCTGGTCCCATGCTCATGGGGTGAAGCAATCTTGGCCACTGCCCAGGGAGCTGTTGGCGATCAGCAGGGCTTAGCCGTGCAATTTAGCTGTAATTTTGGCAGCAAAAGCGCCGGCAGAGCAGGGAGGTAGCAGAGCAGGGAGGTAGCAGAGCAGGGCTGGGGCCGAGGAGA